GGAGAACGAGGGAGAGAGCGTTCTTTCCACAGCTGTAAGTATTCCCACTATTGTGTCACAGTCTAAGATGCAGAGAACGTTGTCGTCTAGTGTAAGCTTTCAACCGTGGACATTTCTACATCTGATTTCTTGAAGCATCTGCAGAAGCAGCACAGCAACGTGAAACTTACAGAAAGAAACTCCAGCAACTGTAATCTGTAACTGATGCTTGGACTTGTCGGGAGACAGTGCCGTTAACGTAACGTTGGGATTTACTTGCTTTATTTTTTATTTCAGCCGGTGGTCTAAAGAAACAGGCCTAGGCTATATAATTTGTAAAAAAACACACTCCTTGCTGCTGTTGAATATGATATTAGTTAAAAAGTCAGGAGAGACGCTTTGTTTGTTTAATTAGCCTACAATTTGGATATTTATCAACGCGGATCGCTTTTTACTAGGTGTATTTAAAATCATCTTTGATTGAGGAGCTGTATTGAGGAGCATATATTCCTGCAGCACCTCCTCTCACTCGCTCGTTCACTCCCTCTTTCTCTCTCTCTCTCTCTCCCTCTCTTTCGTGAACACCGCTGCACAAAGTTTAACCCCACCCCCACGCTGTCATTCTGTGGGAAACATTGGAAAGTAATATAGTAACGTAACTAGTAACGTAACTAGTTACTTTTATCACCCAGTAATAAGTAAAGTAATAGTATTACTTTTTTAAGAAGTAATACGTAACTAGTAATATATTACAATTAACTTGCCCAACACTGGCTGGTAGGCAGATTGGGCTAGCAGTTTCCCTTGCTTTCAGTCTTTATGGTAAGCTAAGATAGGTACATATTTAACAAAACAGACATTAGACAGGCATGTGATTGGCAAAGGGCAAAAAAGCAGGAAAATATATAGAGAACCCCCGACACCCCGATTAAACTGGCAGCGGCAGGACCCATGACAATAACTTATTTGGTGGATGTGTTGCAGTGCGAATCAAAGACAAGATGTCTATGAAGATTCTCAGTCATTCAGGTCATAGTTATCCAACAAAGGGCAACTGGACTTGGTTGAAGATACTGGAAGACGTTTCGTCCCTCATCCAAAGGACTTCTTCAGTTCTGACTGACTGGCAGGGAAACTCAGCTATTTAACCTCAGTGGGGTCTTTGGCCCGGGTCATCGATACCGCTGGTTCGTTAGTGTTCCTTGTTGCTGTGACGACAGTCAGTCAGTCAGAACTGAAGAAGTCCTTTGGATGAGGGACGAAACGTCTTCCAGTATCTTCAACCAAGTCCAGTTGTCCGCAACCTCTCAACAGCTAAATGTGCAACATGCAACATGAAATAATTGAGTCTATAACTAAATAATATAACTACTAACTTTCAAATTAGTTCAGTAAAAGTTAATAGATTATTTTTAATGAATAAGAGACAGCAGCAAAGGTTGTCGCCTGTGTAAGACCTGGTGGCCTAACTGTTAAAGAAACAGTTATATTATTCAGGAAACTCTGAGCAAACAGCCACATCTCTGCATCTCTGTCTGATGATAACCTGTAGGAAAAAGTTTGATATTTCAACTCTGGCAGCGGGCGGGCGTGTGTGTGAGACGACCGCGACGGTTTCACGGGATTGCATGATAGAAAGTATTGATCGCACCAGTTACACAGAAGCCGTTGCCATGGTTAGCTCGCGGAGTGCTTGTTTGCCTGAGCAAAGAGCGACCCCGCGGATCCAAGCGTCTGAAACGGCCTTATATAAACCCTGTCACAACCATTCACAAGAATTTTTTTTATAACTTGCCAAAACCTTTAACATAAGGATGATTTAAAAAGCCACCATTCATACAGCAAAGTGTAGCATATTTAGCCTTTATGATTGATCAATCGACAACAAAGTCAAAGTAAACATTACATAGCTTAACAAGCAATAATCAAAACATACCCGATTTTTCCGATCCTTATTGTCAACTCAGTGTTGGGCAAGTAATTACCAACTAGTTACTCAGCATATACTCGTTAAAAAAGTAATATTAGCTACTCTACTTATTACTGGGTGATATATAATGCCTCTCTCTCCCGATCATAGACTGTAGTCCAAGCATCACTGGCAGTAGCAGCCGGAGTTTCTTTCTGAGTCTTTCAGGGTCGGTGCGTTCAACAGCGCAGCGTTACTTGGATTAGTACCTGTAATAACATTACTATTTTGGTAATAGTAATCCGTTACATTACTCTTTACTGGCAAAAGTAACATTGCAGTATTACTGCCCAACACGTTACGTACCACTGATGCGCGGGAGCGACTGTGGTACACACTGCGCAGGTGTGGAATGGGCAGCTGAACACAAACGAACATCCTTGTTGATACTTGGACAGGAAGAAAACTTTACACACGTCCTTTCCATTTCACTCGGCCAGCTCCTGTACCCCCCTCCCCCACCATCTTTTTTTATTACAGATCTGCATGATTCACGTGGGTCAGATTTTCAGGTCAGAAAATCCGGAATTCCGGATTAATCTGGAAAAATCACATCCCTGATTAGAGTTGTAACAGTCTTCTAATTTAACTATCGCTGAACCATTCTTCTAAGGCCAGCCAGGCCACATTCATTACAGCCCAAGCATGACCCAGACTGCATTTATTACGGACAGAGCCAAACGTGGCTCGATTCCACTCAGTTTAAGCCCGACCTAGATGGATTCATTACCTATTCCAGTCATTATAATTAAGCTCATGTGTTTTCTGTGGCTGCTCCAGATATGTTAATGATTTGACACACAGGACACGGATTTTCATTCATATGCATAAGAGGTATTGTCTGGTTCACCTCAGCTGTCTCTCACTTATCTTCACTGTGTGTTGAGAAAAATGAATGTCCTTAGGATTTAGTATGCAGTCTGGACTTTTCTTGATTCTGTATTTTTTAGTTTACACTCCATTTGCCACTATCCCCTAAATTAAAAATAAAAGTATTTGTCAAAGCATGTTAATATCCTCATTTTATAATTTGATCTGAAAGTCGTGCTCACCAAGTGTGGTTGAATTTCTCAAAGATAGGAAAAAGAGTTTTATGTATAATGTATCTAGTGCATTTAGAGCATCTTTAGGTGCATTTTGCATTACTTTAGATCATTGTATTCCTTCAGAAGTTTCTAGCATTGCTTACCTGGTTGACTATCATGAAAGTTGTTGAAACAAAAAACATCAATATTTTGTACTGTTGGATAGAACAACTGAGTCATGCTTTTGACTTGTCTGTGTCTCACCTGTTTTGTAACTGAATATTGAAGCTATGTGAGAAGCTTTCTGCTGAAGTTGATAAATGCATGTTGAATATCTTACACACATCTCTATCGTCACACATTTCTCTCATAATCACTTAAATGGCTTTTGGCTCTATGTGTCCAAAGTTGCCACGCTGCTGCTTTAATTCACAGCTAATGGAGAGTGGAGAGCTAATGTCAATGGCTCTGACAAAATGACTGTAATCCATACGTATGACCTTTATCACTTTAACCTCAAGTGCTTCCCACCACGACGGACAGGAACTCATTGACTAACTTCAGAATAGAGCACATCAGTGGACTCAGTTTGCTAAGGCTGACTAGTTCATTAGAATGCCACCAAGATCACGACATCGCCAAACAGCATCCCAGTCATATTGCGACGTCCACCAAAACAATTGCAACACGACCCCGAGCCACATCACTCAGCCCCAGCACAAATAAACACATAGCCACTGACATTTTACAACTGATACTGTAAGTTTTTTAGATTGATTACCTTCCTTTCAGGCAGCCATGGTCTCACTTGCATTATACTACAATCAGGAGTTTCACAGCCTTAGGGAAGAAGCTGCTCTGTAGTCACCACCACATTTTTATTTTATGGGAAATTTGATGTTAAGAACATATAATTAAACAGGTAACTGAATAAAGGAATGTGAAAATATGAGGTGACAAAAGAACACGGATGTGTTGGCAGGACTTGGCCCCTCTCTGCAGCAAGATTCAAGTCACAGTAAGCGGATTTTAATAGAAATGATCTCAACCAAACCTCTTTGTCTAAACCAAACTGATTTGTTGTTGATGAACTACTCATGCAAGACCATCAGTTTGGTCCTCTACAAGTGAAAAAAGAGTTATGGAAAGGTTACGTACTTCGGTTTATTTATTTATTTTTTACAGAGAGACAAGGAAGGCCAAGTGAGATGGGAAGTGAAGAAGATTTAACTGTTACGTACACAGATTCAGTGCCACATCACACAGAGTCTCTCAGGTCTCCGTCCAGGGTTACATGCAGTATGCTTGGAGATGATACTTATGGAATTCCCATTACATGGTCAATTAAAACACGAGGAGACCCTTCTAAACCAAAGAAGCTTATCTCATTCAGTTACATTTTAAAATATTACATATTAGTGTCTCGCAAGGTTGTCCTGATTTAGGACATAAATCAGTCCAACAGTGTGTTTCATCATTTTTGGAGATTAAATTCATTCTTTGAGGATCCAGTCTATGAAAATGTGATTGTTTTCTCAACCTTCACTTGCTAAAGCATAATACAATAAAAATTTTGTGCATTTATTTGTTCTTACATTTTACATCTAAAGTCTTCTTCTCTCAGCTGTTTTGTTGTCCTTCATTTCATGCTTTATATTGTTTAAAAATGTCATCAGTTTTATGTGTTTTACTCCCAGTCCTTCCTTCCCCTTTCCAATCACAGTCATGGACATAAATTACAGCTTTGTTATAATGTGTGCATAATTACAAGCTGTGTCCCCACTAACATCAACGCAAAATGAACATGCTGCGAGTGAATGGAAGATGCATGACTTGCTCTGAGCTGTCTGTCTGATAGCAAACGTTGCATTTTGGTCTTCCCTTTTCTTCCTTTTCCTTAATTTTCTTTTTCTTTTGTGTATGTAATGAACATAACTGTGTGTCTGTTCTTCTTTTTCATTTGTAACTTGAATGAAACAAAAGGGGGACAAGCAGGTTCATTCTATGTGCATGTGCTTTCCCCCTAGACTCTGGCTGCCCTAACGAGAAATTCGATAAATCTGCTTCCAAACCATCTTGCACAAGCTTTGCATGTCCACTCTGGTCCTGAGGAAATTAACAAGCGAATAGAGAGCGCCATCGACTTACGGAGTGGCGATAAGTTGAGAAGAGAGCATATCAAGCCTTTCTCACTGATGTTTAAAGACTCCAGCCTGGAAGAGAAGGTAGCTGGGGTTTTAGACAGATAACTGTTTTTTTCTTTCTGTCTCCCTCCTTATATCAATTCTTAGATGAAGATTTTCAGAAGCAAAACAAGAATCAACTATTTTTTCCTATCATGAGTAAGCTAAAGGCATTTATACTAGATACCATGGTGGTATCGCACGGAAAAAAGGCATGGCATTTTTTTCATTTTACTGCATTTACACAAGTCAATGTTACCTACGGAAACCTTAATGGTATAACTGAGGGTCGTGCAAAATTAATGGGGAAATTATGCAATTTAAATACATTTACTGGTCGAGGGTTTTATTTTCGCTCTTTCCTTCATTAGGTCTTCCAGGGCATAGAGTCTGAAGTGTGCCACCAGAATAATTATGGACTCAATGTATACATTTTAAATAACTATTATAACTAAATTTACATTTATATAGAGTTATAAATGTTCAATTATTTTGCTAATTAATAATCCCGTTTTCGTGTTAGGCCTTTAATTTATATATTATAATTGCATTTTAAAATATGTTTAAAAGTGTTTTTAAAGGCTTTTACATTTTGTTATTTCATTTACTGTCTGCATATCATATTCCATCTCATAATTTTCTCAAAGTTCCCATTCTCATTTTCAAGAATGACGTTTCATTCTCAAGTTTTTTGATAGCTGTTTAAAATGTATTACTTGAGCATAATGAAAAGTATAATTATTCCGTCAGCACACTTTGGACTTTATACTAGTGTAACTGTATAAACACAGTGAACCAAATATATAAATATATATATAACAGTAGACAGAAACTCTTTAGACTATTCTTTTTTTAATGAGTTACTGCCAATATTGCGCTCAAACATTAAATCCACTTAACCATGACCCATGTTTGATTCTAAAGTTTAAAACAAAGCGGCTTAGATTTTTTTCTTTGACACGTATAGAATAGTCAGCATGGCAATTTGTAGATTTGTTTTGCTGAGATTGCAGAACCCCCTTCAGTTTACTCATGACCAAAAGTCCATGCCATGGACCTGTTACCCTTTTACACTCTTGTGGGAAAAGTTGACTTTTTTTCTTTTTACTGGAGCACATTGCATTCACTAAAGAAAAAAGAGATTTCTGGGATGTGTTCTCAAATTTACAAATTACATATCGTATAATTATGACTCTCTAATTATGAGACCTTCACTTTACTAGACCAAATTATTAGACGGCTACTAGTAATTACTACTTGTAGTATAAAGCTAGTACTTTATGAAATACTAAAACACATAACTGCATTGTTGCAGCTGAGTTACATCAATCATAAAACAAAACAATATAAGGACACTCAAGGTGGGTAGGTAAGAAACAGAAAACATAAAAAAAAAACAACTAACCCCATCTCTAAATATATTGTATGGCCAAGTGTATATGCTTTGTAAAATGACTACAAAAGTCAAATCAACATGATTGACAGTCGTTATCATTTCATTTGACAGGGCTATAATCATTTTCACCTCAATTCATGCCTTAACAGTCAGCTGTTCTTTAGAAACTCATCCTGGGCAGCCAAACGTTGATCAGACCCACAGAACTTTTAAATTCTGTTGGAGATCCTGAAATTTCCAAAGATACCAAACATATCGGGCTGAATCTTGTGGAAAATGTCCCTAAAATGATATGTAAAACAACAACAAGAATGTTTTCATTTAATAGAATGGTTCAACCATAAAAAGTCTTGGGTTTGAGCATTTCACTCAGTGTAAACATATCTTCCATGACGAGCTGGAGAAAGCTGTTAAATAATGTGAAATATGATATTGTCAGGATGGGTAATAAGATACAGTCACTTTTAGGGCCAACAACAGTGGAAAACTTAATTTTTAGGGGCTAATTTTGCTTATTTGCTATATTTCATCTTTGTTTTAATGCTTTGGCAGGTACAGGTACAAAAACACTATAAGCTGGATTAATAACAGTTGCATTTTTTGCTGACAACAGCTGGCACCAAGTAAACTTGGACAAGTTGTTTCCATAGTGACAAATACCAATGAAACAGCCTATGGCAGCAAATTGACTAATCACTTAACGTTGACAAATTTTAATTCTCCTATAATTACAACATGGTAAGTCATAATCAAGAGAATGGAAGTCATAATTACAAGAAAATGTTTTTGAATATTCTTTGTCTTTGGTGATTGCAGTGCACTTCTGTAGCTTTTTGTTACCTTTCTCCCCATTTTTTGTTCCATGAATAAGCTCACCTTTAACCTTTGAGTTGACCTTCATATGGGCATCTATGTTTTCCTTGGTATCCCACCGCCATCTTCAAAACCTTTCCAAGAACCTTATTTTTTTTGGTTGACCTCTTAACCTCTTCAGTAAATGTGCCGTGCTGTTGGCCTCCCTATTTTTTTTTTTTGCCAAAGTTGTGATGAAACGTGAAGCATCCTCTTGCTAATTTCCCAGCACCCTCTGAGAAAGAGACAGAGCAAGGGACGGGATAGCGGGGGCCATGGGAGTGGAAAGCTTAAGATGACATAAGTCAGGCTGTTGGCCCAGACTGGTGACTCATCAGTTTAGTCGCATATCAGCGCAGGGCTTTATTTAGGAAAATGCTAATATCTACGTTCTTACATACCAAACAGTTCCCCCCTCTCTCTATAATTTGTGATCGTTTAAGTAAAGTTTACTGTGTAACTGAAAATTGTTAACAAAAAAGTACAATTTACTATCCTCTTTTGTAAGTGTTGACTTTATTCTGAGTGCATTTGAAGGGAATAGTTCAACATTTGGGAAATTAAGCTGAGCTGTGACTGCTGTTTTTTGATAACCAGCAGTCTTTTAGAAATGCTTACTTTTTATCTATAATCTATTTTAATGTAAGAGGAGTGGTGATGGTGCAGTGGATAAGACACATACCTTTGGTGTGAGAGACCCGGGTTCTAATCCACTATGAGATATCATTGTGTCCCTGAGCAAGACACTTAACCCCTAGTTGCTCCAGAGGCATGTGACCTCTGACATGTATAGCTGTTGTAAGTCGCTTTGGATAAAAGTGTCAGCTGAATAAATGTAATTAAGGTAAAAACAATGTATTAGATGTAGAAAGTCACCCAAAACTTGCTTGTGTGACATTTTTCTGAGCTTCAGTTCTTAGTGCTAGCAAGTTCAATATCTATTATTTCTCAAATCCAGACAATTCAAATTTCAGTTAAACTTTCAAAAACCCTCTCCTGCCTCACTTTAGCTTTACTTATTTTATTGTTTTTAGCTCTCTGTTTGTGTCTCCGACTCAGCTTATAGCTGAGTGCTAGCAGCTAGCATTGTGCTTGTCAGCTTTGCAAGTTCCCCAGGACCCCACAGCTAACCCACCGGCTCCTGTCTCTCTCTAACGCTTGTGGTTGAACCATTGCATACATCTGTGGCAGTGTGTTGGTGTGTTTGAGGTGCATTTCAGTGTGTTAAGTCTTCTCTGTTTGTCTGAAAACGTGTTTCTCCGTCTTCCCCTCACTTGCTTTTCCTCCCTCTTTCTCTTCCACTTTCCTGTCACGGTGAAGTACTCCCAGATGAGGGACGAGGTGTTCAAGTCCAACCTGGTGTGCGCCTTCATCGTACTCATCTTCATCACCACCATCCAAAGCCTGCTTCCCTCTGCCAGGTAAAAGAGGACAGACTGTCAACATGGTGGACACATTTAACTCCTGCCATACATCCAGGTTATAGCTTCTGATCGACTAGCTTTCAGTTCTCAATGTATTTTCTCATAGAGTTTCTACAATGCTAAAACATTTTAGGTTTAAAACAGGACTCCATATTCAAAGAAAAATGTTTGCACTTCGTAATTTTTGCCTGATTTAACAATGATTGCAGATGTGCTTTCCAAGGCCCCTGCATGTCTGCATGTCTCATGTTATTTTCTTAAAATGAGCACCAAAGTGTTTAGCCCTCTTGCCCACAAATAACTACTGAACCAACTGTAGAGACATTAGCTGTAGCTAGCTAGCTGTGGGCTGTGTGTGTGTATGTGTGTGTGTGTGTGACGGCTCAAACCTGCTTTTCCTCTTGTAACTATACATTTATGAATTAGTCATAATGTCAAAGATAAGCACACATTTTCAACTCATGCATTATTGACAAATGTGCCAGTTAAACATTTGCTTTGCATTCAGTCTGAATACACTTAATGTCCCTGTTTGTGAAATGCAAGATGTTCAGATGTTTTTGTAGTAAACCATTTCTCTTTAAATATGGAAAGAAAACCCTGGGAATATCAATCTTTCAGAAAGATTGATGAAAGAAACTTACTTTGAGAAAATACACCATCTGGCTAAGGTTAATAGAACATATTGGATTGCATAACATATTGGAGTTATTTAGAGAAAAGGTTCTCTTAATTAGTGGATACTGATCTAGTTATTAGGAGAACATTAAATCTAAAATGTCATCATTTAAATCATTTACATATGTCAGAATGTTTTCGATGATGCTTTAAAGTGTCACCACAGTCCAATCCTTAAATGTTGTATCCTTATTATTACTTTGCCATTTATTGTGTTTCCACAGGATGCTAACCATGGTGATCCAGTTCTCGGTCCTCATCGTCCTCCATTCCTGTCTGGTCCTAGTTACAACGGCGGAAGACTACAAGTGTCTGCCTTTGGTTCTGCGCAAAGCCTGCTGCTGGATCAATGAGACCTATGCAGCGCGAAACGTCATTATCTTTGTCTCAATCCTCATCAACTTCCTGGCAGCCATGATCAATATAGTGAGTTCAATTCTCACTTCCAGATTATTGCTGATTTCAGAATATTTACAGAGTCAATATTTGTTGTCTATGCCCTCACCCTCGCAAGGATACACCAAACTCTGACTTTGCTCTGTTTATGGTTTCCAAGTGGCTCCCCAGACACTTTTTCATCGCACTTTCCTTCTTAGACCTTCTTAGACTCAGAGACTTGAATCTTTTTGGGGGGACATCATAGAAAACATTATCAACAAAACATAAGAGAGGTCCCGGCATATTGTCTGAAGCTCACATCTTATTTTAGAGCACTACGCGCCTAATCCGACATTACTGTGTGTTGCGTTATTGTTTCCTTTTCTTTCCTTTCTTGTCTAAACCTAATCTTGATATAAAATAAAATCTGAGTTTAGAGGCTGTGCTGATATAGAAAGGGACTAAATGGATTAAAGTCTCACTCCAGTTTGTCAGCAAATTCCATGACAAGATCAAAATCCACCTCACAGTACTTGTTGACTTCCCTACCCTGTTTTTGGCAATAGTTCTTACTGAGGATGTAAATGTTTAAAAACAGATTGCACATATACAGTTTCATAAAAAAGCCTCAGTAATTCCATAAAAGAGCTGGAAAATGTAGGTTTCTCAAACAGAAGGAAATGTATTTATTTAATGGGGACTGTTTTCAGCAGTGGATTAATTCACATTTGGTACTCTTACTCTCTTTATTTTTCTTTGGTGGGAGGATTGTTTATGTGGGATGGAGTAAAAATACAGTGCGCGTGTTCATGGTAATGAAGGAACATGTCACCCAGGGCAACAGTGTGGCTTATTTATGTGTTTTAAATAGTTTTTGGACAACAATGGCGTTTTGTGTCACAGAGGAAAACAACAGTAGATCCATTCATTGTTGGTTTGGGTCTTTCCATGGGAATTGTTGACAATAAGAAAAATATAGGATCACTAGACTTCTCCTTTAAGATTAGTGTTGAAACAAAGGGGCAGGCAATGGTATGTTGTGTTATTGTCAGACCTTTAAATAGTATTAAAGTTGAATGCAGATCTGTAAGACGTAAGAACCAACTTCATACTATATCACAAATCACAAAAGGGGTCACATCATACATAACTAGAAATTGAAAAGTTGTTTAATGCAAGTAGTAAATAAGTTTATTTAATATAGCAGAACAAGTTCACAAAGTGCTTTGCAAGAATAAAATAATAGAAATAAGACCATCAAAATAGTAAAGAAACAACAATAAAACATAAGCAACATCATCATAAAAACAGTAAAACTAATCATACAATAAAACACAAGCAATAACTGACCTTACAAAGACCGCAGACATTAAACAGCACGACCTGGTGAACAGCCTCACAGCAGCGTTCTGGGCCAGGGACAACTTGCAGGTGAAAAGGGAATTGTAGTAGTCTAACCGAGATGATATAAATTAAATGATCATCACTAATTGAATGAATTTCAGTTTTTCAACCGCCACTTTCATAACTTTTAGATTCATGAATTCAAAAGCTGTTTATTATTTTCTAAAAGTCTGACCTCAACGCCCCCAATTTACCTGATATGCCAGCTGTGTTCTTCAGCAGGGCGGCATCTGAAAGACACTGGCCCGCAGTCATTACTTAACTAAAGCACATGAAACAGGCTTATAATTAGCTTTTAGTGCTACAAGGGCTCTGCTTGCATCAAACAAACCATATTATGCAACCCAGAGGCCTCAACTGGTGAGAAAAGGATCAGTCAAAGAAATAAAAAGGCATAATCCCAAAGAAGCTAACAGAACCTTCTCACTAATGTGGAGACGTTTGCTTGTGTCACTGAATTCAAACTGGAGAAAAAAAAATTGCAAGTGGTTCTTTATTCTTATAAGGGATTTGTTAAATAATCAATTTACAGGGTTATTCATGTTCAGCATCAATTAGCAAGTGGAAACTTGCTTTAGTTTCCAATAGCTGATAAGCAAATAAGATATGTTGATAGTGTATGTTGCAGATCCATTTTGTCTAAACATTTTGCTGCTTTATGTGCTCTTGGCAAGGCTTTGCTGTTGCAAATAGAAACCATTAAAGTGGTTTAACGATAAAATCAATACACATAGAAAACAGACGTGAATTAGAAGTGAACATCAACAACAAAATTTAAAAAACTACATGGGTTTTTGAAAATCAGCAGATCAGTTCAATAGTTTTCAATAGTTTTATGGTCCCATGCACTCTCTGCTGCAACCACAGGTTACAGGAAACAGTGTTCTCTTGAAATGTGAACATCTCAAAAAACGTCTAGTTAAGAAAATAAAGAGAAAAAAGGGGAGAAAACAAAAATGAGCTGTAAGTTAAAAAATTAAAACTGATAAACTGCTGAACTGTAAAATGAAATAAAAAAAGAATGAGCCCTCTGTATTCTTTAGCTCTCATTGATTTTGATTTGAATATGAATATTCTTTTTTACTAAGAAAATGTTTGTTATTGTTTCACACGTCCTGTCTTATTTCTCTCTTTAAAATAAAATCATCAACATCACCTGTGGGCGGCACGGTAATGCAGTGATTAGCACTGTCGCCTCAAGGCAAGAAGGTCGTGGGTTCGAACCCCAGCCTTTCTGTGTAGAGTTTGCATGTTCTCCCCGTGTCTGCATGGGTTCTCTCTGGGTGCTCCGGTATCTCCCACTGTCCAAAGACCTAGGTTGATTGGTGACCCTAAATTGTCCCTAAGGTGTGAGCGTGAGTGGTTGTTTGTCTATGTGTGGCCCTGCGATGGACTGGTGACCTGTCCAGGTCCTGGTGACCCCGCCTTTCACCTGATGTCAGCTGGGATTGGCTCCAGCCCCCCGGGACCCTGTATGCAGGATAAGCGGTTGACGATGGATGGATGGACATCACCTGTTTTTTGCGCACTTTGCATCTTGAGCTTTTTTTTAAACTAGCCAGAAATTTAAATGCTTCAAAATTCACTTTTGTGTTGCAGAACGGAGCTACGAGAGAGCTTCTCGCGTACTCTGGGTACCAACTTCAGTCACAGATCAGCTGTTTGTTAATATGAAAATGTTTCTCATTCTTTCTTTAAGAGATCAGAAACACGCAGCCTCCTGCAGAGAGCTCATCTTGTTCACTCACAATGAGCTATGCACTTCTGACACAAACGTTTTGGAAGATTAAAAGCTTGATTAAAGAACACCCACTTTACACTGACTCTGCATCAGTTTTTACCCTGCACCATAACAATAATCCCCCCTGTTGGTCTCTCACAGCTGTGGTGCGACTTCGACAAGTCCAGCACCTTCAAGAATCAGACGTACAACGAGTCGGCCTCCATCCCAGACATCTGCTTCTACCCAGAGGTACCGACTAAATGAGGTGTCTGAATTTTGCAGTCAGGTCCATCTGTTGTGTTTTTTCACTTCTTCGACAGCGGAAAAATGATGAATTAAACATCCTCAGCATCTGCTCGCACCCAGAGGGAGGTCTCGCCTCAGACAACGGCGACTGATGGAGCTATCAGAACGTCACGGAGAAAACATCCATTATGTGATTTTGCTCACACAATATGCAGCTGATTGATGGACTTAATAAGGCAGCAACATGTTTTGTTTGTAGCTCCAGGCTTGAGTCACATATCCTTACATGTATATCACAACCTTATTTTCTCCAGAATGTCAGGAGAGCTCATGTGTTAAATAATAATTAATAATAATAGCTAAAATAGTTTTTAGATACATAAAAAAAAGAGTTATTGACTTTTTTATGTTGGGACAAAACCTGACTGGAATATGAGATTAGACACAAAAACATGCAGATCTGAGGCCTTTGGTGAAGTGGGATGTCATTATAATGTTTTATAGCCAGTGAAGGGGAACTGCTTTGTCAAGTCTGAGGGAATAACACTGATGATGTCATAGCGACGTCATCACAGTTATTTCAGTTTGGGCTTGCAGACTAGAAATGAATAACTGGAAACCTGAGTTAAAAAAAAATCTGCCTATTAGTATGTCCAAAGGTTCTCAGTCATCCAGGTCATAGCTATCCAAGGAAGATTAAAAGCAAGGACAACTGGACTTGGTTGAAGACACTAGAAGACGTTTTGTCCCTCATCCAAGAGACTTCTTCAGTTCTGACAGACTGGTAGGGAAACTCAGCTATTTAACCTCTGTGGGGTCATTGTCTGAATGATCGATGCCACTGGTTTGTAAGAGCTCCTGGCTGTTGTAAAGACAGTCGTTGTGGTCGTTGGACCCACCCGGGACCAAGTCTGAACGACCTCATCCTCACCTGAGGCCAAAAAGAGTTGTCTCTTAGTAGTTCACCAAGACGCTGGAAATGCAACAGTAAATTGTACCTCTTTAAGAATTTTTAACTGTAGAAAGGCTGAGCTATTGAACAGCCCGTTATTTTTTTGTCTTCTATCTCAACTGTGATCCTCCCTAGAATAATTTCTTGCACAGATTCAATTTTCAACACAGCAAAGTGCAGCTGAGGATGGTGGCAGTGTCATTAGTTTTGCAGGGATTTGGTCATAAACTAAAAGTATTGGACACATGTTTCTTTTTTTTCCCCAGTATTTTGTGTTCACGGGGGTCCTTGCGATGGTGACGTGTGCGGTGTTCCTGCGGCTAAACTCTGTGTTGAAGTTGGCGGTGCTGCTGGTGATGATCGCCATCTACTCACTGCTGACCGAAGCTTTCTACACCTCGCTGTTTGTTCGCTACGACACCGTCCACCACAACACAGAGTGAGTGTTTTAGAAGTTTGTTCAACAAGTTACACTTTGCATCATGCTCAACAATCAGACACGGTTGAAATGTTCGGGGCCCTGTTTCAGAAAGGAGGCTTAACAAATTCTAATCCTAACCCTAACCCTGAGCTCTGAGTTACTCTGTCAACTCTGAGTATGTTGAACCTAATGGACGCGCGTGAGTGGCGAATGAAAAAAAGCCATCCTCAATGGAGCTCCGATACTCCGATTCACCATGGCAACGGGTAAATAAAGAGCAGAGCATTCAGTGGTGCTATAAAAAATAGGAATGCGTGCCAACGTGGACCATGACATTTATCTAAATAAAACAGGAGTGGAATAAAGTCAATTAAGTTGAAACATTTACTTGAATTTCCCTAATGAATGATAAAGCGCTGGATTCCTATAGGCTAGTGTATGGACATTTGACTGTAAAGTCAAAGTCCGACCCAGTAATAATTTTGTTGGGGTTTTCAGTTGAAAACTGACTGTACAATGTTTACGTAACAAACTAATATCGAGCCAGGATTTTGATTTTTCTAAAAACATCTGCAGATGAATGCGTTCGGTATTTGATATCAACAATGTGAATGAGAAAATGAAATGGTGTCTCAGACAGCTGCTTCAGGCGTTGCAGGAGGGGAGTAGTCAAAGAGAAAAAAAAAGTAAACCTCCTCCCGAGAAGTTTCTGAAGTTACTGATCTAGGGATTATCTGATCTCATCTGATCAGAGTTTCCCTCATCTTAAGCTGACAGTTTTCACTGAACCCGCTTTCTGAAACAATGTCTGGGTATCTATATAGTTTGTCTGTTTTTTTGACACATTTGGCCATGTAGTGTCTGGTTGTAACCCTGGTTATCTGAGTGAGAGCCAGGGTTAAAATATATGTAATCAAATTACAATCAGGAGAATCAGAGACTCCTCTTAAAAATTGGTGGTACATTTTCGCAGACATCTTCGTTTATGAACAGTATCTCAAAAACATGACTGAAACTGACCACCTTCCTCTACTTGGAACTGAAACTTAATATGTACAAGACTGTTTCCCATTGTGTACAGCCAATCACCTCATTAGATTTTATAGCATTTGCTGCATACGTTTTATAAGTAATGGTTGCAAATTGGTGAAAATAACTCCTTAATGTGAAGTTTAGATCAACCAAGTACATGTGTTAAAGTAAAGACAGGTACATTAATATATCTTCATTTTCTCCGTCTGCTCTCGCCTCTTCCTCTTCAAAAACACATCAGGGAGCCTCGTTGACCTTAATTCTGGACATAAATGTGCAAATGTGTGAAAACTCATCTCACAGGCGTTGTCAGTGATAGAACAGTGACCTTTACAGTGACAATATATGAAGACATCCTGAGCATAAAATCATGAAAGGCCTGTTAAGAGCAAAAAGCACTATGCTCCTTGAAGCAGAGGTTTCCATACAGGCTTGGGAACTGACAGGAGTCAGATTCATTTCTTTAAGGCCTTCTGGGATACGAGAGAGAAGGTCAACATGAAAAGACCTCAGAAGGAGAGGAACGTCTTTGGATGATTTCCACTGTAAAACGTTAAACACTCGAGCTATTTAGTGTAATATTTCATTCATTTGTGCTGAAATTCATAAAAACACTGCTGTGAATTAATTAGTTTCTTCCATTGTAAAATAGCATTAATACATTACTAACAGCATGTTCAGTTTTAGAGAAAACCTTTCCACACATATGCAGTGGCAGATGTTTTCTTTGTTCTAATATTATTATTATTATTATTATTCTATTTTAGTCTTGCCAAGTAAAATATATGAGTTATTCTCTGTCCAAAGATGATGTTGATTAAGCTGCTGCATGTCAGACTGTGAAAGATCAGGAGGCTACCAATGGTGTCACATCAATTCATGGCAAGCTATAATGTATTCTTGTAGTTTAGTTTTCAAATTAGAAAAAATACTATTGCTGCATAAATAAAGCTCATTATTTCAAATGTGTTTTTATCTGTTAACTTTGAGTAATAAAAACAGGTTAAAATCTGAAAAAAAAATCTTCAATACAAATATTTGCAATGCAAACACTCACTACATAGTACAATTAATTTTTTATTTTTAGTAACTCCAGAATATCAGGATCTCATTTTGTGTTTTCTCCCCATTTTGTTCTTTGTTTTTCATCACTGAAAAATGTCCTGAGCTACACTGTAAATGTTGCAAGAAGACCTTGTTTACAATAATACTTCTCACGACAGCAATCATGACAAATGTTGACATACAATTCAGATGAGAATCAGTTTAAATGAACCTGCTCCTTTTTAAAATCTGAGTAAAAAAGAAAAGCAGCAACTTTATCACATACGCACCCTGGATATTTGACACGAGTCATGTAACATGACACTTTGTGGTGCAGCCAGTGTGTCTATCACTTGAAGCGTAACCACAAGAGTAGTCCTAAACCTTTGAAATGCCCATCTGTATGCCTAGTGAATTCCGAATGCTCATATTTCATTCTTTCTTTCGTCACCTGTGTGTTGTGTTTTCTGTGGCAATATTTGGATACTAAAGACATACGACTATATTTCACTGCCATAACCTTATTCTTTTTATGCTACAAATTATGTTAACAAATTAACGGTTATATTTAAATTGTTTTTGGGAGTCTAACTCTATGATATGGTCAGAGCTGCATCTCTACATTTCTCTGAGCTGTTAATCCTCAGTGATCCTGAGAACGACTGAGATTTGACATGACATCTTGTCCTTCCACACTCTGAGCTGGAAACAAAGAGTCAAAGAAAGTTTCTTCATCAGGCCCCCTGTTGTGCAGAACAAACTGAACAGGCAGATGAGCCACCTATAAAACACTTCTAAAAAGTCAACTTTTTAGAGGGTTTTTCTCTGAATTGGTTCTTATTTTAGAAAATATTTTGCTGTAGTTTCATTTTAGACTTTAATGGCAGATGGTTTTGTTTGCACATCTTGCTTTTTTGTGAAGAAGTGTTTAGTGTTGGATCACAAGTAAAGGTGATATGAAATGAGGACACTGATTAACATGTACATGATTGTTGTTCATATATCTTGTTTGTTAAAAAAAAATAAGGAAAATGAAAAGCAGAACAACAAGTATTTAAATTTTAAAAAGTGATGCACAGTATGCACCTCTGTCACATGAAGAGCTGAAGCAAAACATACATGACTTTTTACTTGATATTGTTCAACGATTGCTACACTTTGCATCAATGAAATAGCAGAAGAGCATCAAATGAACAAAACTCCTCCTTCTCTCTTTGTGTTCCTACAGAAACTTCCTGGGGACCAAAGAGACATCTTTACTCCTGATGGCCATGTTCCTCCTCGCTGTGTTTTACCACGGCCAGCAGGTAGGACCACGCCAGCTTCAACACTTTCACCATCAGCAAAGTTTTATCAATCGCCCAGTATGTTAGATTAAAACATTTTACTGATTACTTTCAAGGCTCTTCATGGCCTCTTGCCCTGCTATATATCTGACCATGCTGGTGTGTAGTACTGTACGCACCAGCACGTAAGTCCCTTCTTAAAACATATTTTTGTCGGAGTGCCTTTCCTGATTTTACTTGGCCTTAGTATTAATAATAACTATATTTGAAATCCTTAAAAAATGTTTCTCTTGTTTTTATTTGTTCTTTTTTTATTCTGCTTTTCTTGTTTTTCAGTTTTTGTTTAAAACCTGATGGTTTTTACAACTTGTGTGTTGTGATTCAAATTATAATCAATAGAAATGGTGGCACTGCGTCTTTAAACATATATTGCTGTTGAAAATTTGAAATGTCATTTTTCAATTCTGTGAGCACCACAATCCAAATCTCATTCACCTTAATTGTATCAGGGCTGGAGGCAAAAATCTAAGAAACAGATATCTTACAACCTGAATAAGTCTAGATACTATACCACTACACAGCAGCTCCAAATGTGGAGTTTGGGATAAATCAGTCCCTCCAGGATTTCACGGGTCTTCTTTTGTGATTGTTGTGGTCTTAAACATCTGATAGCTTTTTAAAAAAAAACTGCAATGAAAGTTCTGATGTTCTTGGCCGTTTTTATGCAATGAAATTGTGGGAGTAAGTGAAAAGTGCAAAGGTAAATGATTTTTTTAACTTTAGAAATATAGTTGAATCAGTAACCAGTCCCTCCAGGACTTTGCGGGCCTAACCCTAACCCTATTTTTGTTTGTCAGTAGATGATTTCCTTTTATGTTCTACCACAGTACTGCAGTTTACCCCCGCTTTGGTAAAGAAGATCGGGGTTTTTTTGTCTGCTGCGTCTTGTAAAAGTGACAAGCTGATGTACGACAACATTTGAATCTGCAAAGATAGGTCAAATTTGGTTATTGGTTAAAGTTCCGATTGTGAAAATCCTGGAGGGACTGATAAATCTCTCCAAAAGGTTGTACAATAAATCAATAAAATAAGAAAGAAAAGAATACAGTCTTTGGTTGGAATTGCTCGTAAACACATGCAGGCTATGACGAAGGGGAGCAGACACTTCTTTATGGGCTCACAAACCAAAGACATGGGGAACCAACTCTATAACAGCCATAGTACCAGAGAAAACCATCCTGGCAGGTGTTATTGCTGTGTGTTATCTGACTTGAGTGATACTTCTTCAGATACAAAGACAAACAGAAACAAACCACTTCATTTTCACATCTGATACATTGTACATGCAGTTTTTATAAAGATGCAGTCAGAGTCCGCAGCCTGGAGGAAACTGGTATCACTGCGTTGCTTTCATGCTCTCTCTATGGCAACCTTTGATCATGTAGTTCAGCGGCCTGGCATCGGTCAGCGGTGGAGGAGAGACAGCCGTAATTGAAGGCCCTTTGTAGCTCCATAAAAGTAACTGCATTTGAAGTCATCCAGTGGCATATTGATTTTCCCAGGGTCAATTCTAACACTTGTTTGGCAAAGCAGAGACAATGACAGCTCACAGCATGAGGTGTGCAACACACAGCTCTGAAAAGCTGTTTGTGTGAGATACATCAGGCCAAGAGAAAAGAGTGCTGTTTACTCTTTGTAGGTGTGCAAAATGTGATGCTTTAGCTTTCCTTTTAGTGCAGTGTTAATGGTTTGATGTGTCAGGTTTGGGTCAGATAACTGGTTCTGTCTGATCTACAATATATTCTATTAAGTTTTGGGGGGTAAAATTGGCAGTGGGAAACAGAAAAGCCCTTTTTTTAATTTCTCAATCTCAGGCTCACAGCAGGTGTTATTTTACAACCTTGTTTCCTAAAAGTTACCTTAATATTAGACTTGTGTTATACCACCCAGATCAGTTTTTGTGTCAACATAATAGCAATTTGAAATACATTTTAAAGGCAAATAGTGATGGTTAATGGTCTGTATTTGAATAGCGGCTTTCTAGTCTTTTCAGCCACTAAAAGCACTTTACACTGTGTCACATTAAACCCATTCACACACAGAAATGAACTCATTCACACACCGATGGATCAGCCACCAGGAGCAATTTGGGGTTCAGTGTCTTGCCTTAGGACACTTGCAGACTGGGGGAGCCGGGGATCAAACCACCGACTTACTGTTAGTGGATGACCACTCTACCCCCGAGCCATTGCTGCGAGGGAAGCCTTGAGTTAGAAGTTTTAAAATTCAATTCCAACTTAGCCCTTTAGACTTTTTTGAAAGAACAGGTAGACAGCAGCTCCATATGGCTCCATAAGCTGATGTACTGTAAATATACTTTCCATAACATTTCCACAAGGCTGGAATTATAGTTATTCAAATATATGCAGAGGGTTTTAAGCTGGAATTATACTTTTGTTGAGTTAGGCCTACACGTAAACATCATTGTGAACCTCTGCAGAGAAGAGTGTTAGGCCCTTTGCAAACAAGTTGAGTGTGTGATTCTACTCCTGCTGTGGAAAAAGTGGAAACTATTCATGGCACGTGATATCTTCCCATCTTGTCATTTTCCCATCCTTATATTTTGATAAATCCGAATTCTTTTGTTTCAGACATGGTGTATATGTTTACACTGTCACCGGGGTGAAATTGATTTAAAACAACACTGTGAATCCTCTTAAGCCAACGTTTAGTAGTCAACGTAAGTTTCTTCGAGAGGAACTTAATTGGGTTTGTCACAACAACAGTCATCTGTTGTATTGCAGTGAACTACAGCCGTCCGAAACTGACAGATCACTCACATGTTTAAAGGGAAGTAGGTTTGAAATCCAAAAGAAACAGGATGACGTGAAACAGAAGTAAAATATCACCAAACTAAATAATGGAATACCAAAGCAGCTTTAACATTTGGATCCTGGAACAAGAACAAAAGCTTTTCTGTTCTTTGTAGCTGAAAACTCACAGTACTTTCATCTATTGCTGAGAAAACACACAGAGGGCGTAACACTTTAGTGCTTCTTTCAGAAGAGACGTTTAAGTTATTTTATTGTGTCGTGAGACCCTATTAGAGCAGAAAGATGGAGGAGACTCTTTCACTCTTGTTCTTCCTAGCCTTTTTCATCACAGCAACATCAATGAAATTCTTATTCAGTGCTCACTGAATCTGTTATGATTTCTTCACAATAATCCACAAGACAACATACGCACACATTTTCCCTTTACATTATTTTGACAATGTAGGCACACAACTTATTATATGAGCTTGAAAGCATCTTTGATAAAAGATACAGGAGAATAGACAGATAGATGATTACAGTACAAAACAACAGACTCTTCAAAATGCATCATTGTGCATTTAAGTAATAACTTATTGATAAAGTTAATGTATTGAGCTTTTGCATTTTTTTGACACTTTTAATTGTTTGGTGCCATATGACGTTGATTTTTGCTTCTTCAGAGGCAGCAGATTAAAATGAGCCACAGTCCCTTTACATAATAAACTACTAACAGAGCGGTGAAGCCAGATGAGGTTGTTCTTCATGAACACTGCTTCCTGTCAGAGCAGTAATTACATTATCAAGCACAGGGAACATGAAGCATTTCATTAAGCTGCAGACAGGGCTCTCATTTTGAAATGATTAGGGTTTCTTGTTTTGACACCCCACTTTATTGTTGATCATTTTAAGACCCGTAGATTAGGCGAGGTCTTTACCTAATGGGACCAGCAATATAGGAATACAACAATGAATTGACAGAGTAATTAAAAGATTTATGTGATAACTGTCGTACTTAAACAACAAAATAGGTCATTTGCATTGTGTTCCGTAAGAAACCATCAGTTCGTTTTCTGATCTGTCATGTCTACTATTAAGGTTTGGCTAAGCTTTTAAACTACTACAAGTTTAAATAATAATGATGATAATAATAATAATAATAATAATAGTATTTTTATAGCATTTCACATCACAAGCTTACACAAACAACATAAATTAAGAAGAGAACACAGAATAAAACAAAAAGTAAAACAGGGAGGAGCATACAAAAACAGGTTAAAATTATTTAAAAAATTATAAAAACGGTTTTCTGACCAAAGTGAATTTTTACAAGTGATTTCAAGGACATCTTTGGCTAACCTGAAATAATGGGTACATAGGTACAGACACACAGGACTCATTTGCGCATTTGCAAACCTGCAGCCTTTCATCAGCTCAGCACCACGGACAGCAGCCGGAGTGCCAAACACAAATCTGCCCTCAACTCAAACTTGCTGTCTGCAACTATCAAACAACCAAAATAGCTTTTGCCAGCCTACAGTAACAAATCAACACAGAGCAGCTGACACAGTCTGTCAATAACCACAGAACAAATAGCAATCAAGAAAAGCACAGCAGCTCATTATGCCAACATAGTGCCGACGGCATCTGATCACGATCCACATGGCAGTTGTTGCTGTCTCTCATGGGCCCTTGTAATCAGTTGGGCCCTGGTGCATTGCACCGGTCTGTAATTATGCCACTGCTCTCATTGCCAGTGCTTCATGATGTCTAAAATGCATATTAAATCTAAAGGTCCAAAGTAACCAGTAAGCTCAGCTGTCACATAAATGAAGTGGAGCAAAAAGTAATATTTATAATAGTTTCTCTCCACATTAGTGCAATGACATTTTTTCCCAGCCTTTAATGTTTGCCTATCTGCTCTGTGTTTAATGTCCTCATATGTGTGAAGCCTAGCTGGGTAAAAGGCTATCAGATTAGAGCATATGACTGTGCAGCTGAACATTATTCTGCAGAAAACATGATCACACAGTGTGAAAGATGACAGCAGCTCTAAGCAGTAAAATGCTTATCAGACTGAATCAGACTTCTCTGAGAGGTAATAGAAGCCGTTTTGAATGAAAGTGTCACCCAGCTGTGTGCTGCGGAGGTCATGTTGGTTAACGCCTGAGCGACCCCTTATTTCACCAGCCACCATTTCATTATCCCACGCCAAACCAGCCCTACATTGTTAATTAGAAAAACTTAAAATGAGATTGAAGTTTTGTACTCGCTCATATAATTAAGAGACTAATTGATACCAAGATTAATCACAAAACCGTTGCCAGAGAGAGACCTCACAGGCTGCCTTCATTTTCTATATTAGGGATCCACCCTCCTCCCCCTACAAGTACAAACTAAATGGTAGCAACTTTTGTTCGGCTCAAATGTATTCAAATGATTTTGTATGAATTGTGCATTCAAAAAAGCAATCTGTGTTGCCTATTAGAATTCTTTTGGCACACTTCAGATTGATTGCATTCGTCCATAATTGTTCCAATAGAATTTTTAATTTAGCCGTTCATTATGGAACCGCTGCCTTTCCATCATCTCAATGATATAAACGACAGACTTTCTCCTTATCTTTGGTTACATTTCTAAGTAATTACGCAATTAACAAAGTCTTAAATCTGTCTGGAAAGGAGCAGGGATTTTCAGGGCTTGAGCGGCTCGAGAAGTAGCACCAAATGTTGGGAGGATATGGAAAATAATACTGAATTGTCCCGGTTATTTGTTTCTGTGAAGATAATCTCAAGTCACTGCATCAGGCAGCGTTAGCAGGGTCAGGATGAGTATGTGTCTGACTCATACAAATTGTGAACTCCAGCAGATTTGTCAGTAGACTGAAAGATTTGTTTTGAGGAGACAATAAGATTTTAAACCAAGCTCTCAGGGGCTTTAAAAGACATATCTCGCTTTAACATAACGTATTTATGACTGAATAACAATTGCTCATTCTGAAAGAAACATACTTATTGCCAAACCTGCTTCTTCAGGACTCTGTAGGCGTGTTTTCATCAGGTGCAGTGGCCCAGCAACATAAGCAAACGACCACACAACTACAAAATACATAAAAGAGCATGAAAACACAACGCAATTAAAGTCACTTGTATCTCTGAGTACTACAAAGACTAAAAAATGTACAGTATGTACAGGGTTGAAAAGTGACTACTGGTTTCCATGGAGGATGATCTGCTATTGGTAGCAGAATTATATGGACTTGAAAGAGACTGAGCTGAGAGAAGAGACAGAGGCGGTGATGATCATGTGGGGAGCGGTTATGACTTTTTTTGTGTTTCTTCCGTCTTTAGCTGGAGTACACGGCCCGGCTGGACTTCCTGTGGCGCGTCCAGGCCAAAGAGGAGATCAACGAGATGAAGGAGCTGCGAGAACACAACGAGAACATGCTGAGGAACATCCTGCCTAGCCACGTGGCCCGACACTTCCTGGAGAAGGACCGGGACAACGAGGTACACACAAAACCCTGTCACACAGCTCAGATGAATTCTTTCTCAGATGAAAAGTGTCTCCAACAGTATTATCGCATGACAATAACTTCAGACTGGTTGGAAACCAGTTTATCCAGTTGATCTAAAACTCTGTTGGTAAAAATCCCTCGTTGCTCAGAAAACTGTAAACTGTGATAGATGTTTACAACAGAACGTTTGTCTAACCTGGAGGTTTGTTTCCAACCTGTCTGATCAGACATCTCTTTAGCAATGTTGCTGAATAGTAAAATGTAAAAATAAAGCATGCTGGAAAAGCATGTATAAAGCTGCTGCTATATAAAAACACTAAATTTTTCCCTGCAGACCTCCTCTAAAAAGAGCCCCTGCGTTTATTGCACTTTGTTCCCTGAGCCTCAGTGTTCTAGCCTGCGAAGAAAAGAAAAGACTCCAAACAACTGTACAGAGAGCGAGAGAGGGAAGTGGTGGGGTGGTTCATTCAGCCGGGGAGCTTTTTTGGTCACATGCATTTGATTTGATTTTAATAACATGTTGTCAGTCAGCAGCAGAGAACAAATTGATTGTCTCTCGTCACAGCAGTGACTCAAGCTGCCCAAACTCTACAGAGAGTCAAACTTTACAAAGTTTCTCTCTTTGTTCACCTTATCGCTGCTGCCCTTTTCCTTTTGTACTATTAATTTCCTTTGAATAGAGCTGTTCGGCATTTGTTAACATTCTAGAATGGGAACACACACATTAACACACAAATCTGCTAGGTCCTCTGTAAAGCTGGTGAATGTTTGTGCACATTTTAACCTATTTATTTCTGAATTTCATGAACTTTACATCACACTGCTAAACTTGTTTTTTAAAATCATACCATACTTCTTTGCATCCTTGAATGTGTTTTCTTAAATTAGTCTTGATTACTGTAATATGACATACACTGCATAGCTAAAAGTAGACTCAGACTTTACATCCAGACTGCAGGGATTTGCTCCCAATGAGCCGTAAGTACTTTAGTGAGGTCAGCGTTCCAGATCATCCCAGAGGGGTTGAATGGGGTTGAGAAAACCGTTTCTGTATGGAGCTGGCTTTGTGCTTGAGGGCATGGTTATGTTGAAACAAGAAAGTGTCTTCTCTGAACTGTTGCCACAAAGAACACTGTTTTCTCAAATATAACTGAGTGCTGTAACATTACAGATTAATTTAACTGAAACTAACCATCTCCACCAAACTCCAGCTGTCTGAATGCATAGTGCAGTAGTGTTTCAACCCCACCAAACCCAGGCCGCCACATGTTGAAGTGGGATTCATCACTCCAGACAACACGTTTCCACCACTGCACACTGAGTCCAGTGGCAGTGAGCTTTACATCACTCCTGCACACCTCCCACATGGTGATCTGAGGCTTGCGCAGTGCTGATCAGTCATGAAATTCACAAGCCATGGAATGTCTACAGGGTGGTGCGGTGGTGCAGTGGTCAGCACTGTTGCCTCACAGCAAGAAGGTTGTGTGTTCAAACTCCGGTTGCCCCGGCCTTTCTGTGTGGAGTTTGCATGTTTTCCCCGTGTCTGCTGTGGGTTCTCTCCGGGTGCTCCAGCTTCCTCCCACCATCCAAAGACATGCAGGCTAGGTTGTCGTGGTCAAATTACAGAACTGCAATTTTAAGTCTGCCGCCATTTTATTAACTATGACCACCATGCCTTCCTACCTTTATCCATACCGTACTTGCAATACACAGAAACTGTAGATGGTGATCATTTTAAAAAGGTGTGGGGACGTCATTATCAAAGGCTGGCTGATAACTGCAGCGTTACTCTGTAATGAGCTATTAAAATGGAAGATGAGTTTACTGTGGGATGAAGCTATTTAAAAATCCATCACCAAGGTTTGATGTTAGTTCAGACAAAAAAGAAATTAAAATATTTTAGCTTGTTTTGTTGAGAAGAAAAAAAGAAAATTGCTTCTTTAAATCTTTCTTTCTCACTTGGTTCTGCTCGTTCACACACTTGATAATGACTGATTGTATTGGTCGACAGAGAGGACAGTTATCACACACATGGAGTCAAATCGCTGTATTGCCCTCGTCTGTCCTCATCGGGCTCCTTCATTATCGACTCCAATCTTCCGTTGCCTCCTGAACAAAAGGCAAGCGGCCGATGAATTATGAATGTCAGGAGAGGAGAGCTCGTATCATTCTGTTCCCATGTCTGTTCCTAATTAAAAAGGACATGATTAAAAATGCATCCATTAGGATAGGTTGGGTCCTAATCACTTTTTACATTATTAATCAGTCTGTTTATTGTTCCGTGATTTAGATACTGAAGCACTGGGTCATTAATAGGCTCATACACCCCTGAAGTGGTGTTGATGATCTTTGGAATTAATCAGGTCACAGAACGCTGAGAGTCATTTATATCAGCATTTTCACTCTTAGGTTGTTTAGGTTTTATTTTTTTAGAGGCCCTCGCAGCAAGCGTTTCAGGGCCTTCAGCAGCACTTTCAGCTGCTAGTGGTTTATATCCTGTGATCTGAGTCCTTTTTCTCCTGTGCTATTGGTGTTTCAGATTTAAATGAAAAGGGTGCTTAAAAGTAGAACAGTTAGGCTCATTTTGAGTTGCTGCAGGCATTAAATACATCCCGTAGAACTGTATTGTTCTTTTTGTTCCTCCTCTATCTGTAAACTTCTCTGTGTGGAACTAATTTAGACCATTGTGTAAGAAGAAATTCAATACTGTAGATGGAAAAATTGTAGAAAAAAGTAAGGCTCTTCACTTACTTTTAAAGTGAAGTCACTGGTCCTTGTCATTCAACTAAAAATGGAATTATGTTAATACACACATTAAGATCTCCACCAACCGATTTGTAATGCAAATGCGTCATGCAGGCTAATTGGTTGAACCAAACGATGTCGCGAAGCAGGTATGAAAAAGACAAGAAAAAAATAGGGGACCACATCAACTTTATGACGTATTTTACAGTAAGGACATTAAGTTACAAGGACTCATTGAACGGTTTGAGTTTAATCTCAACCCAGCTGAACAACTGAAGTGAGCACAGACTAATCAGACGAATGGTGAGTCGTGGAACACACTTTGTGCTGGGTTTACTTTCATTTGTCTGCCATCTTTATCCATTTATCTATGTGGTGTAGAAAAGTAGTACAATAGCTAAAGAGGCTACACTTGCAGCGTGAAACCCCAAATAAACCTCAGAACACTGACTGACGTGATCCTACAGAGATGCAGGAAGGAAATTAAATTAGTTCGGCTTTTACCAACTTTTACTTTGAAGTTTTGACATTTGACCGAGCTCATTAAGTGTGCATAATGTCAGTGAGGATGTCACAGTAAAGTCAGAGGCTGATTTTCATAAGTGTGTAATTACAGTGAAAAGTCAAGCAGAATGCAGAGAGAGAGACGCCCGACTTCTCCTTAATTATTAATATGAAATGTTGAACTATGACTGGACATTATGTTTACCAGCCTACTCTGAAAATATTCCCATAATGATGTGATGAATTACTCCATGTGACATTAGCATGTAAGGACATGCTGTTTAATGTCAACAGGCCTGCTGCGCTGCTCGGCTATGTGGCAACATTGCTCCCCGGTGGTGGAGACAGTGTAGTGCAGCTGCAGCCTCACCTGCTGCAACAGTACAACCACTTTGCTGCTGCACATGTTGGAGTATCACTGTGCTCTTGAGCAAGGCAATTATTAACAATGAGTTTGAGAGGGAAATATTGTACTTTGTACATTTGTCTGACAGCTTTAGTTACTTTTCAGATTACAATTTTTCAGTCGCTTCCTATCTAGTGATCTCCATGTAGCCTATCTGTGTTTTCATTTTGAATGTTTGTGACAGGATGAGAAAATTCACCTACTTCTTAAGCTAAATAAACTATTTAATTTCTCTTGAATCTGCTCTAAAATCGGAATCAAATCTGAAAACCGGGCTGTTTGTTCTCTCTGGGTGCTCCGGCTTCCTCCCACCTTCCAAAGACACGCAGGCTAGGTTAATTGGTCCTTAGGTGTGGATGTGAGTGTGAGTATATAGCCCAATATCACAAATCTGCTACAGGAGGTTTTAAAATCTGTAAAGCATACGACACCCGCTGTCCTTAGACCATCGACTCAGATGAGAAAAAACTCCCCTAGTGTGGTACTTTTACTTATGTAAAGGATTTGAATACTTCTTCCACCACTGGGCTTGGAATTTTGTTGTATTTAAGTTGTATATGAACAATAAATAGTTTTATTTCCCATTTCCATCAGGAGCCATGTGATCATTAAGTGCTCAATCTGTGGCGTTTGTCCCCACAGGAGCTGTACTCCCAGTCCTACGACTCTGTGGGAGTGATGTTCGCATCCATCCCCGGCTTCGCCGACTTCTACTCCCAGACTGAGATGAATAACCAGGGAGTCGAGTGCCTGAGGCTCCTCAACGAAATTATTGCTGACTTTGACGAGGTGAGAATGCAGACTTTGAAGTGCACCCGCGTCTACTTCAGCCCAACTTTAAAACATGCGGGGGACCGTCTGTGTCGTCAACATCTTCCAGTTTTGATTAAAACATCTTATTTCCCAGAACACTTCAGAAGTGATTAGTGCAAAGGCAAGAACAACAGGAGAGCTCATGTCTGCAGGTTATCAGAAGACACTAAACACTCAACGTGCAAAATACTGAGGACGCTTTTTTCAAGTACACTACAGAGATAAATCCAGAAGGAGCTTTCTTTCAGTATTGATGTCCCTTACAAGTTACAGAAGGGTTTTTCAGATTTTCTGTAGTTGGACTGAGGAGGACTGTGGTTCTTATTATATATTTTCTAATGAAGATAAAGAAAGTTCAAAGTCAACTGGAAGTCCACTGATATCTATGCAAAAATGTGTGTACTGTTAAATGTATGTATGTACTTACCGAAAATATTTTCAGATGAATGCAGGTTTTCCTCACGTTAATACTCCCTCTGTCCAATCGAAGAAGAAGAAAACACTGTCAGTTCTTTAAAGTATTTCAGATCAAATCATCTCATACACAATAAGAACATAACTAAACGTAGTTCAGCTACAAGGCAGAAAAACAGTGCCAAAATAAAAGAGCTGTATACCCACACTTTCATGTCAGTCAGTTTGCATGTCAGTCAGTTTGTCTGTCAGTCAGGCGGCAGAGTTGCTGTGTTGTTGTATCGAGGGTTTGAACGTCCCTCCCTCTTGAAAGCATCCTGCTTGTTATAATCCACTTTCTTATTCTGTATTTATTTATTATATCAGGCTTAAAGGTTTAATTCAGGATATCTTTGAATTTAGGATTCACTGTTCAGGCCTGTGTTTCTCAGACTACTTAAATTGAAATTTGCACGTTAAAAGTGTCCTGATTTCTGAAACTGACAAGCAGAAGAAAAGGCGTGTCAATAATTTTCTGTGCTTCAGGGTTAGTATGAGTTAGCACGCTTGCTGAAGTTTCCTAAAACTCTGGCACATCTTGGTCCCCTGTGGACTGACTGAAGTCTAGAGGAACTTGAGTTTGTGACAGAAAATGTCAAAGTCTCCTAATAAGAGCAGAGACTGACAGACACCAGCTGCGCTCTCTGCTGCCTCGGGCCACACGCCTCACTTTCACACACTTTTTCCTCAAACACAAACAGACTTCTCTTTTCGCCATCAGGGAACTCGCCTTGAGAAACTGAGAGTGAGATGGCAGAGTGATTCATAATATTATCTAAGGAAGGTTAAAATCAAGGGCAGCTAGACTTGGTTGAAGATACTAAAAGACATTTTGTCACTCATCCCTTTATAATGCTGTCCTGTCATCACTTCCCAGGAAAATAAACAAACGTTCACTTTTGGCCTCAGGTGAAGATGCCAGCTATGGTCGTTCAGACGTGGCCTCAGGTGTCTCTAACAAACATGACGACTATGGTCGACTGAGTTTCCCTAACAGTCAGTCAGAACTGACAAAGTCTCTTGGATGAGAGACGGAATGTCTTCTAGGATCTAGGAGTCCAGTTGCCCTTGATTTTAACCTTCCTTGCATAACTATGACCTGGATGACTGAGAACCTTTTCAGACTCTTAATATTAGAAGCAGACAATACGATCAGAATGGCACTTTTAAGGAGACAATAACAAGCAGTTAATCATCAGGTGTAAGGATCTCAAATGGAATATTTTAATCATAAGTTCTTGTATATCTATTTGAAACATCTCATTTCTTTTACAATCTGCGTCTGTCACAGTGTTGTAGTGTTGTCCCTTTCTCTTTCTGTTGCTGGGGCTCATTGTTTCACTCTATTCTATCTTTTATCCTGGAGATGATAGAGGCCATGTTAGTGCTCAACAATTCATCCACTATGTGTGCTGCATTTATATATGGCTGCTGCATATGAACACCAAACATTTACCAGTAGTTTGTGTGTCAATATTTTCATTGATTAAAACCTTGTCATGCTTAAGATCAAATTCAGAAATGCTTAAAAAATTACAGTTTTGTAAAAATTATAAATCATTTGGTGTTTTGTCAGGAAAACTGAGCTGGCATAAAACTTTGATTTAGTTTTTCTAGTCAAGTGGGAATTCTTGAGTCATGTAAAATCCAGATCAAATGTTGGAATCTAACTGGATTCATTTTGTTTAGCAAAAGTTTTTTTAAATCAGAAAAGTAAACACTTAAATGTTGGAAATCTCTCATTGTATCAATTGTCACAGTTGCTTGGTGAGGAACGCTTCCAGGACATCGAGAAGATCAAGACGATTGGCAGCACCTACATGGCCGTCTCTGGTCTTTCGCCTGAAAAACAGGTCAGATCCTCCATGTTCATTTTAACTTCATGCAGTACCAGTGTGAGCACCAAGGAAGGCATATCATGTGGTGCTTTGTGTGGTGTGGGTTGATGGTCACCTGCAGTGTTATTTCTTTATCTGGCAACCCCCCTTCAACAAGGCTCACAAGACACAAGCAGCAATTGCTAATTTGACAGATAGATTTGATTAGATAGACTTGTTTATAATTTTCCAAACGTCTCAGATGGAAGCCTAATGGTGGATTTCATCTGCTCATTTGACGTGTTATACCTTTTCAGACTGGGCTTGTTCACTAACACCAGACCACGGCAATGTGAGGAACTGAATGAGGCGCCGGTGGTTGAACTAGTGAGAGACAGAGGCGTGAACTTTAGTTATATATAACTTAATTTATATTATTGCAGATTTCTAAGCCATTTTTAATTTGCTCCATATTGTCTTCAAAATCAACAGTTTCTTCTGCCATTAAAAACATGTAGGAAGGGAGGGGAAAAAACGGTCTCATGGTCTCAAGTATCAAGTATCGAGCCTCCATGTGTTGAGAGGTTGTAAGGGGCTGGGAATTGTTTGATTTTTTTTTAGTACTTTAGCCAACATGATACATTTCAGTAAAAATGCTAACACAATACCTTTCAACAACTTTTCATTAATCATTAATATTAACATGTTTTTTTTTCTGCATAAACACCTTTTTCACTTAAACCTCTGGAGCCCATCTTCATCTGTGAATACACTCAGCATGTTATTTTATAGTAACACAACTTTATTTACATATCATACAAGTAGAAAGTGCTGATGTGGGGTGAAAGAAAATTCTTAATTATTAATATTTTCAGTTATTTATCATTGCATACATACCATGGACTTTTAATGAAAAGGGCACACAACTGTTACTCTTACTCTTACAGTATTTGTGTGTATAAATATGAAAACAAAATTTTTTAAAAACCTCCAGGTGATTATTATTATTTTTTGTCAATTTTCTTGAATGTGCTTTATACTTAAATTTCCAAAATGACAAGTCAGACCTATAGCTGAGTTTGTTCTGAAAAAAGGGATACCATGCATGTGGGTTTTTACAAAGGTGGCATACAAAGCCCTCGTGCTAACACTGGTTTAGGCTTTGCACTTAGCCATTGCCATACTGTGATGTCGAGGCGCAAATCCACCAGAAGCTGAGATACTGCCGTCACAGCAGATGGGACCGAACCAAATCTCATGAATAAAATACTCTGAAAATGACTCAATAATCTAGTATAATATATATCTAGTAGTAGAAGTAAAAATAAACACACAGTAAAAGTACCATTGTATACTCGGATATGCACCCAAAATAATACATCAGTGACTTCCACGTCCACCACAGTGACACCTGGACTGTACGTGCTACTGATGAGCAGCAGTTCCCACCGCCAGGCTGGAAATGTTTTTCCTCTGACACGTCGACACACTTGATCCCTCACCCCTCAACTGACAAATTTCCAGTTTCATCTCTGACATCTGTCCTCCAGCTGGTCCTCACGACAGCCGATTCCCGGCGTTCAGCTGACTCAGACTCTTCTTCTGTTCTCCTCTGCCTCCCACAGCAATGTGAAGATAAGTGGGGTCATCTGTGTGCGCTGGCTGATTTTGCCATCGCCCTCAACGAGAGCATCCAGGAGATCAACAAGCACTCATTCAACAACTTTGAGCTGAGAATCGGTAAGAGCTCCGTGTCATTCTGAAATCTTTCCCTCCCGACTACATGTCTTCCACTTCCTCTCATACACCAGACAAGGTACAAAAACTGACTTCTGACTCATCCTCAGCACCCAGCCCTTTGAACTGTAACTGTATATATATATATATATAATCTTTAAAGAAAATTACAGTAATTATAATAATTTGTATTTTTCAATGAAAATCCTTAAAAATGAAAACAAGGGTCTAGGAGAAGTGAGCATCCTCTCGAGAGTTGTGACAACTGATCACCTGTGTGTCTCTGGCAGGTTTGGCCCATGGCTCGGTGGTGGCGGGTGTGATCGGTGCCAAGAAGCCTCAGTACGACATCTGGGGGAAGACGGTGAACCTGGCCAGCAGGATGGACAGCACGGGGGTCAGCGGCAAGATCCAGGTGCACGAGGAGACCTATCTGATCCTGAAGGAGCGCGGCTTCGCCTTTGAGTACCGCGGCGAAATCTACGTGAAGGGCATCAGCGAGCAAGAGGGCAAGATCCGAACACACTTCTTGCTGGGCCGGGTGCAGCCCAACCCGCTCATCCTGCAGCCGCGCAAAATCACCGGCCAGTACTCGCTGGCTGCCGTGGTGCTCGGCCTGGTGCAGTCACTCAACAGGCAGAAGCAAAAGCAGATCCTCAATGAGAACAACAACTCGGGCATCATGAAGGGCCACCACCACTACAACCGGAGGACGTTGTTAGCTCCCGGTGGCTCCGAGGTGGGAGGGGGGCATCACACTGAAGCAGCTGATAAGACTGAGTTGTCCTGAAGAGCAGACTGGAGTTTTAGTTCCACTCAAATTTCTCAGAGGCAGAGCTGCTCTTCGGGCAAAATAGATTCCAGTGGTTGAGTTAAACTTCAGCTGGTGCAGCTTCACACACTGACTTTCTGGCTAAGTAACATTAGGAAAGTTCTTCAGGAGTTGTAGTACTTTTAGCATTCCAGTACTGAAAGCTTCATCTGGTTTCAGACCTCTGAATGGGCGCCCATATCTGTGATTGGGAAAACAACTGACCAGTCATCGCTACTTTTTAGAGCATAGTGCTCTAATATGCTCGTGCGTGAGTAGCAAGTATGGTGTGTGCTGTGATTAGTGAAATCTTAAAATGGAGGTGTGAGGTGATACACAGTCCTGGTAATGGTCTCACACTATTCCATTGATCTACAGGTTGCAGTAAGAAACACAGTAATGCACCAACAAAGGCAATGAAGAAGACTGCCAGCTAATATCCATGTATGGAAACAATTCAGGTTTCAAACTTTCGAAATATCAACTTTCCAAATGTCTTGTAAGGAAGTGTGTTAGTGTTTTAGTGAGCAACGCTGAATGTAAACAGAAACTTTGTTCACTTTAATCCTACAGCCAGGTAAAGGCAGGATCCCTGGGGAAAAACTTTCTACATGAGTTGAATGATGAGTTGGTTATTGAACATAAACCATCTCACCTTTTGAAGTTAATTAGTGGGTTAGCCTTAGCTTAGCTAACACATTGGCTTTCAGAACTATTTTGTGGCCCTTTTAACATCATGAATGTCCCGTATGAATGAACAAAGCCACTTGCATAATTTCACCAAAGTTACTTCTTTTCACTTTTCTTGCCAGTTAGCTTAAATGTGCTCTGAAAAGGTTTCTCTGGCTCGTTACCGCTCAGGATTTACTCAACCAATGAGATTATTCCTGCGTCCTGAAACAGCTCTGCTTTTGATGAATGTTAGTAGAACTGAAACTCCACTTTGCTCCTGAAGAAGGAGGTGGAGGAGGATGAGGAGGTGGTGGTGGGGTAGGGAGGGAGGGGCTGGACGGAACCGCTGCGTTCTGTTTTCATCCACCCTCATCTGTTCGATGTCTGTTCCCTCGGACTGTCTGACGTTCCTCCTGTCGTTTCCACTTCCGCTTTTTATGTCGCCAGGCCACCGACCCACCCCCTCCCAAAACCCAGAAACCCTGTCCCGCTCTTTCCCTCGCCCGGTGTCGATGTTTCTTTTTTGTATTTCTTTTATATATGAGAACACAATAAAATGGCGTCTAATTTTTTATATAAGCCATGTGTCTGGTTGCCTTTATTTTGTCTCATTTGCACAACTTGTCTCAGAATTAAGAAGGTTGTATTGGGAAGTGATTATATGATTTCACCAATTCCTTAATATTATTTACCGTTTTTAAACACAGTCTAAAATATCAGCCTGCAGTTAGACACTAACAGAAATTACACTTTTATCATGGCAGTCAGTCTATACACATTTTTCTTTATAAATAAGCTTTGAGTTAATAAAAATATGTTTTAATGTTGTCTAAAGATGTCGGCGTATTTCAGTAATTAGATGATGTATATCGATTTATCAGTTCAGAATCAATATTCTCTGATTCCAGCTTCTTCTTAAATCTGAATATTTCCTGGTTTCTTTACTCCTCTATGACAGTAAACTTAACATCTTTGGGTTGTGAAGAAAACAATTTAAGACATTATCTTGGGCTTTGGGAAACACTGATTTACATTTTCAAGTGATTTATTGAAAAACTAATCCACAGATTAATCCACAATGAAAATAATCATCATTGCAGCCCTACTACATACTGCTATGTGATCCTGCGAAGGGCTTGAAAATCAGCTGTTGCAACAACACGCGAGACAAAAAATACATTCAGGTTGTTGAACAGTCCAGATCAGAGTTCAGTTACGCCGTTATTTTCCATGAAAATATATTTTCACCTCAGGACTGTATATTAAAGAATCAAAGGAGCCTGACACCTCGTGTAATACATCCTATAAAAAGAACTTGAGAACATCTTATGAGGCTGTTGAGCTTTCTGTTGATTTTAACTTGGATGCAGAAAAGAGACGAATCAGAGCTGTGAGAGCTTCATGTCTGACTGCAGTTAAAAACAGCCGCTTTCATTTCCACACCAGAAAACGAACTCTGTCTTCTTCGTCTTCTTCTTGAGAAGGTTTTGATGAATCACATCGTCAGATTAGCGTGAAGAGGAGGAGCTGGAAATGAAGCCAGACACCTGCTGGATGATCCCAAACCATCTGGGCTCTGACTGAGTAAGCTGATGGTACATTATTAGAATCAGACCTGATCATCTGTACAGTTCAGCTGCAGACACGATTGATTTACTGTTCCCACTGATTTTAACACGAATATATCACATTTTCAAGGATAGAACTAGACTGAAGAGAGTGATATTTATCAGTCAATGACGTGGCTTCTTTAGGAATGAAAATAAGTTAGATGACTTTCTGCAGTATTTGCCATGATGAGTTGAAAAAACATTAATTCACATGTAATTAATTTCTAAAGTTGACCATGTAACTTTTTTACACAATGAAAATTGTGTTTAATTGAGCACTGAAACAGTTATAGTGTGTTTAGTGTGTATACAGTGTTGTGTATTTGTACATTCATGTTTTTCTCAGCTTTTTGTTTTTCAGGTTTCTTTTTGCGCCTGTTTTTTTCATCTAGTCCCACTTCTAGTTCTTTGCTTTAAATAACACTTGTTTTGTGATGTCATTCCTGTTTGTATGAGATTTCCTTTGTCTGGGATTTGATTCCACATCTCCATGGTCATAGGTGTTTCTCCAAATTAACCTCATCTCTTCCCATCATAAAATTAATCTTCATGAATCTGCAGAGAGAAAAATATCCCTTTAAAAAGATCGTAACTTCTCTGTTTTTAGTCTCCAACATGTTCTCACTGGTATAATGACACAATTAATTAAAGTTAAACATGTTAGCATCCAGACTTCATGTTTGTTGTCACTATTCTGATAAATATTCCAATCCAGTATTTCATGTAGTTTTGTGCGTGAGAGCTTATGTAGCTTAGAAAAGCCTACTGCTTATGAAGCAGCAGTTTTGGTAATATACAGTAGCCTACAGGTTTTGATTTAAAATCCTGTTCTAGACCTGATACCTGAAATAACCAGTGTGGAACGTAACAAGAATATTTACTTAACTAGTGTACTTACCTGTATCACCTCGGTATTTACATTTTATGTTGCTTTTATTACTTTTAATCTACTACATTTTGGAGGCAAATATTGCACTTTTAACTCATTACATTTATTTGATACTTTAGTTACTAGTTACTTAGATTCAGGTTATTAATACAAAATATAAATCAACTAATAAATGATGGTATTGTTTATTTGTTTATTGCAGGACTTTTACTGACTAAATATCTCAATGCTTCTTCCTCCTCTGGAAGAAAACAGACAGAAAACTGTTGGTAATGTGTAAAACAGTGATATTGCTTTTTAAGTGGGAAAGCATTCTAGTCCTCATGCACACAGAGGTGGAGAGGAGAGCTCAGTAACTCAACACCAACCTCCTGCAATGTGTACACACACCCACTAGATGGCAGACAATGCTCAGTCAGACTCCTGCAGTCAGACACCGAGGAGGGTCCTTCACTCTCATTGGTTGTCATGGTGCTGTGACATCTGACCTCTTCATTGCTGGTTACAGTATAACCTTCCATTGATAAAGAATGAAAAAAAGAGATATGATATATTCCATGTTTCTTAATTTCAAGAGTTAGACAAACTCAAGCCATGATCCGCCTAGTCTGATTTATATCTGTGTGCAGTTTGAAGGCATGACGAAGAGTGAGATTAGGTGTTTAGATAACAGGGATTGCATCTAAAAGTATTGAAAAAAATTGAGAGTGTTGATTTTATGGATATGAATGAAACCAAGTTATGATACGCAAGTACCTGTGCTCCCATTTGTGTTCTGTTTAGACCTTAAAAGTTTCAACTACTAATACCACATTATGTAGTAAATACCAATTTACCTGGGTAAGGACAGAATGTGCATAGTAAACCACACTTTACCAAATGCCCGCCCTCCACACTTCAGGTACATGTACTGTGCTGTACTCACTGTTCCTGCATTTCATAGCTTTTATCGCATCACTTTTTTCAAAATGTATTTTAATCTTTTTTCTTTACACATTTCTCACACACAATATTGTAAGGTTAAATATTGTTTCTACATGATGCAAGTAACGTCTTGTGAAAATTTAAAACAAGTATAGGTTTTATGTTTGTGTGTATTCCATTAAAATTATTAGTGTCATATCTGTATTGTAATGAATTGTGGGTGAAGCAGGCTCTCTAAAAGTTTGCAAGTTTGCATGAGCCCCCTTAAGGACTTGATGAATTGTGGATTTCGAATTGTGGACTTAATAGGAGCCTGTTAAGTCTGCAAGTCTTTAAGTGCGGTGAAGGACTCTATAAACCTAAAAACTACTTAGAGGTGCTGCTGCCAGTTTCAAACCACATCAGCCTCAACATACAGTATCTCACAAAAGTGAGGACATTTTCACTTAGGGGTTTACTCACTTTTGTTGACAGCAATTTACACATTAATGGCTGTGTGATGTGTTCTTTTGAGGAGACAGCAAATGTACACATTATACAAGCTATACACTAGGGGTGTGGAGAGTAACTGATTTTTAGATTCATCTTGGACAATTATGAATCGATTCACAAATGTCAATAATCGATTATCTGGAGGTTAACTGATGACATAATGTTGACAGAACGAAAAAGGCAGAACTCAGAAGTGCAGCTCCGGACCGTCTGTGTTGTGCACACAATGGAGACGTGTGGTTCTCCCTGTTCGGCACAGACAGGCAGTTGTTGATTGAATGACTGCTGCCACTAAACTTCAAAATGATCAATAAAATCAATGCGCAGCTAACGTTAATGAGTTTTTAATGTTATGAAGTAACATTAAATATCTGCATTTCATTACTACCTATACGTTTGGATTGTCACAAATACTTTGTTTTGAAAATACCAAGTTGTCAAACAGTGAGAAAAATACATCTTTATCCTATTTATTTTACAATTGCATTGTAGCACTAATAATCGTAATGAGGTGCCTAGAAATTCCCACCCTTGAGGTGATGCATCGTGATGCATTGTTATGCATCGAGATATCAAATCGGATCGAATCGTTGACCTGATAACCGTAATCGAATTGCAACGTGAGACCAGTGTCATTTCTTATGTGTTGTCACATGAAAAGATCTAATCAAATATTTACAAACTTGTGAGGGGTGTGCTCATTTTTGTGAGATACCTGTATCTACCTTTCACCATACTACATGCAGATGCTCAAGTCTTCACCAGCCAGTTTTCTATTATGGATTTCAGTTAGCATTCCGGTCAGCTTGTGCTAACTCATGAAGCTAATGATCACTCAAATGATAAGAGCTGTCATGTCTCAACCATGCTAACAAGCAAACCAAAACAATAGCTGAATGTCCATCTACATATTTCTTCACCATCTACTCTTTTTGGTAAACCTCACAGGTGGCCACGCCTGCAGGAAATATTAGACACCCACAACAATCATCTTAAAGTCAATTTCAGACAAACACGAAAAGGCTTATCTTATTACAGCAACTAATAATTCCCCATTACTTTGACTTATTGTCATTTTTATTTGTTAAAAGTTTCATAGTGCCGCTTTAATTTTCCTCCCACTCTATCTGCCTCAAATAGGCATCTCTAAAAAAAGACATCACTGATGAATAAATCAGCAAATCAAACTGAACAATTCAGGGCATCCAGTCACCACGATGGTGACAAACACAAACACTGTGTGTTCGGGAGAAATTGATTGTATTTCTCTTGTTTCCCTCCCTTGTATGGATTTTCTGTTGGACATGAAGGAGGAAGAGGAGGAGGAGGTAACAACGGGAGAGGCAGAGATGTGGAGAATGGAGTTGCCATGGCAACCAT